TTCATGTCGTGCATCATAAATAGCTATTTAAGTAAATTGGCATGCATAGTTGGTTACTGAACTATGATTCCATTTTATTAATTCGTTGAAAAGTTATATTTTGATCCTACTCCTACCAAATATTAATTTCTTTATGATTCCCAAATAGCTGAACAAATTATAATGATTTTTCAAATAATATCGATCGGAAAATTGTTTGAATTAACATATCATCATCATCACTTCAGGTATTATTCGTCCACTGATGAACATAAGCCTCCCCCATAGACTAAAGAACGGTCCTGTGCCACCTGCATCCGCTGACTCCTGCAATGCAATGCATTTCAGACCGTCACTCCAGCTAGTGATGAGTCATCCTAAACTGCGTTTGCCCGTACGGAATTACCACTGAAGAACCTTTCTTCTCCTTCGGTTATCGGTTCTTCGAGCTGGTACCAGCCCATTTCCATTTCAGCTTGCTTATCCTTCGGGCTATGTCGTATATCATGTGAAATATGTTAATCCAAATAAATTTCTTATTTTATATCCTATACTTATAATAATATAAAATGAAACAGAGACAAATGAACCTGATTATATTATTGATTTAAATACCTATTAATTACATAAAAGACTAAAAAATAAAAAATAAACTTTTAAGAATGTACCATATAAACACGTTTATTTAAAATTAAGTATAAAAATTAACAGATTTATCTTATAATAAATGTAATTTATAATCTTTACATTTTATAAAACTAAGCCACCATCCTTGTCGGCCTATTTCTTCTCTTACTACTTCTTAATCACACGACAGATTTTAACGGTTGAGTTTCGTTTTGATATTTGTCACAGTAGGACTGTATGCATAATTTTCACTCACGCGAAGCCGGTACGGGTCACTAGTAAACTATTGTATTAAAAGTTAATTTTAGTTCTTTAAATACCTACTTCATTTACAGTAACGTACGACCCGACGTCTGATTGACAATTATCTTTGTTTTTGTTAGTATCATACATTTCCAAAGAAGAAATCTCTTGACATACTTACTTTCACGTCAAAAATATTATGGGTAAAGTAGTCAAGAGAAATTGTGCGCTACATGCTTCATTGTTACCCTTCCGAATTGGAATGCCAATATTTTTTTATACATCTTAGTCAGTCAAATGGGCCGATTACTTCTCTAAAGCAAAGTAGTAACAGTTACTTGTTGAGTTAATTATTATCATGGATAGTGCAAGCTACACTGTGACATTTATAATAAGTTTGGAATATTACACACGCCAGAAGTGAAACTTCTTTGCTACGCCAAAATGCCTAATTCCTAGTAAACTCATTACGATGAGCCAACTGCTTTCATCCTCACCTATCATATGTCGCTGGTAACCTGCCTTTGTATATGTCCGACTTGATCCACTGAAACTGCGCAGAGATGTTGCATCTCTGTGCATCTTCTACCGAATTTATCATGGGGAGTGTTCTGAGAACTCGCCACAAACTAAAGTTTCATCCCAATCATCTGGACGAGTGGCGGTCTTCCACCGTGCGTTTTTCAAGGCACTTTCTTCCACGCACAACCATTCTTTGGAATCAACTTCCAGCAGCAGTATTTCCGAACCGATACGACAACATAACCTTCAAGAAAAGAGTATATTCCTTTTTAAAAGGCCGGCAGCACACCTGCAATGCCGCTGGTGTTGTGGGTGATCATGGGCGGCGGTAGTCACTTACCATCAGGTGAGCCGCATGCTCGTTTGTAAAAAAAAAAAAAAAAGTTATATTCATATTATGACATACATAAATAACAAAAACAATATTTACGCAGTGTTTACAAACTATATACATCGGTAAAGTCGTGATCATTAGCGTCCTTTTAATGGAGTGATCCACCAGTGAAAGTAAACATTTACCCCAAAGAAACATGGGTCGAAAACGACAAAAAAATTTGAGCTCCTGCGTGTTAACACGGCACGTCCATCTTTCAAGGAAAATGTTCAGTATCATTAAAGGAACACTACCTAAGAAGGATGCTAATAACTTTGAATTCATCTATATAGGATGCATGGCAAATGTTACATGAATAACATCTGTGCATTAGCTTAACCAAAAAAATATATAACCAACAAAAGCGATATATAATTCTACTCTTTTTTAAAACGAGATTAAATCACGAATTCTTTAGCAATTTCATTTATTACGCTTTTTTCAATCGACTCGGTTTGCTCCTATGTTCATTTTATAATAATTTCATTCCAATTGAAGTGAATAGTTTCTTTTTATTCTTAATGATCGCAAACCAATCGCTGTATGCCGCATATTATTGGGTAGGTATCAATAAACATACATTTTCTCTTGCTGATTTAAACCGAAGATATTTCAGTTTATAAACAGTAATCAGCAAACAAAAAATATACAGTGAACAAGTCTAAATAGGCTATAAGCGCTGTTTATCAAGCGAAAGAGGGGCCGGGAGGTGCCTTGCCGGATAATTTGCGGAGCATTTTTTGCTAATACAAAATTAATGACGTAGCACTTTCCATTCCCTAGCGTTTTTCTTTGCCGCGGTTTGGAACGATGTGCTTATAACAAGGGATTGTCTTGGTGGATAAGATTCCGGGTTGTTTCAACGGTCCGCGGACAACAATGGTGTATATTAGATTGCGACCCTTTTGACCTAATGTTGAATGGAATGTTTCCTATCCGCAGTCCAATTGCAACCTTAATTTTTTCACCCTGCTATAATAATAATAATATAGTATTTTTTATTAAGGAAACAGATAATAATAATATATTTTCCTACCTTTTTTTATTATAAGATCTTTATGTAAACAATAACAGTTTTCTTTGTTTTGCAAAAGGATTCGGGTAGATGATTTATTACTTATTTCTACTTTCGTATATGACCGTAAATACGAGTAGGTATATAGTATCTTATTACAACTATTCTAAAGTAAGTTCTAAACTCATTATATATACAGTAATTAAATCAATAACCGAAACATTAATAAGAAAAATATAACTGCATAACCAGTTCAAGTCACTTTTGATATCAACTTTTAATTCCGGCACATCTAAGAAGGTCAAAGTAATTACATATTTTATAACCAGATTTTTACTACATTAATACACTGCAAAAAAATAACAGCGTTTATACTGCGAATGAAATTCTAAATAAAAAAAAATATATACTGTACTTATAAGAAACTTATACTTTTTTAATTTGAATTATCATGATTTTAATTTAACTTATGCCAATAACTTTATTTTATGCAGCTTCGAATAGAGGTCGTCTATAAACGTAATTTTGATTTTATATCTATCTTTATGTCAAAACTTGTGGAGTAAAGGACTATTGCCATATCCTACTCTTCAAACAGTCATACAATCACAGCGGTTATATAGCAGAAAGATAACTGGAACAGAAATGGTCATCCAGATAAACTTTGTATAAAATCTTCCATTAGTAAATTTGACAAAAAGCTATAACCAACATGAACAATACCACTATGTAATTTCTGTGTCATTTTTTTAAGTAAGATGATCTCTTTTTTCGAAATTCTATTTATTTATTATATTTTAAACTGAAGACAACAATACATATTTTTCTTTTGAAATTTTCAATTAAATTACCCTCATTGAACTTATATAATGGCAAATCTTTGAAAATTGTTGCCACAACAAATAGCTTGTTATTAGTTGAAAAAACTCTATTCAGAAACTTTTAGAAGCGTGACTAATATTTCTTTCTATTTGACATTGTAATATAGGGGAGAACATTTTTTAGGGTTCCATATTATATCTCTTCACTGCTTGGCGATCTATCTCTTTCCTATTTCATTTATTACATACTTTTATCTATCAAATACCTGAAGTATGAGGTATGAGAAAAAATACAAATATCATGTTTAACCGGACTATTTCCGAAAGAGGATTTATACAAATGCAAAATCCGGTATATGACCGGATTTTGTTAATGAATAGAACATTATTAAATTTGTCATTAATAAGATAATGATAAAAAAAAACACAATGACATAGAGAGTATAAATATAGTATTCATAGACTATCAAAAAAATTCAAGTACCAATATTTGTCAATTTTGTTAAAAACTACGAATATTTATAAATGTTTCGAAATCGGCACTTTGACGTAAATATATTATTAAAAAAAATTCCAACGAGATTCTCCAAATTATTATTTCTAAACTATTCCGTTGAACTTATTTACACAGTATTTATAACGCAAACATTTATTTGAAATATCAACCGATTTAATAATAAATGTTTGCTTAATAAATAAAATTTGTCTCGGATCTTTTATCGAAGATGAATATTGATAAACCTGTAAATAGTGTACAATAAAAGTGCTTATTATAAAAATATACTGAAAGAAAAAAAAATTGAGCCTCTCTGACAATAAAACTATAACGATCGGTCGAACATTTTATAAGAGATTTACAATATCAGTAAATCAAGTAATCCAAGTTTAACTATTTTATTCCTATTTTATTATTCTAATACAGACTATTACTACTTTTAGAAACTGATATAAAATAAGGACAATGAAGTAGAAAAATTTTACTGTATATTCCATGATGTTAACCGTGTGGTCCCGACATAGAATAGGCCACCCCTTCCTATCCCGTGTGTGTTGTAAGAGTCGAGAGAGAGGGCGAGGGATGGGCAGCAGCGTACCTCTTGTTGTCCACTGTTAAGTACGCCGTACGTAGAACGTAAGCCTCCCCCTTGGGGGAGGCTTACGTTCAACAGTAGACAGTTAAAGGCTGATATGATAACGATGATGATTCTATGATGTAGGTGACCTATTCTTCTTATTATTCTTTTCGAATAACTTTGAGTCATAAGCAAGATAATTGTATTCATAATAATGTCATGTATAATTATACTCATACCTAGTCATTAGGGCAAAAAACTATTGTTTGTCGCCGAACTCCGGTGTGATTGGGGTCAAGCAACCGGTCTGATATGACACCGGTTATAATAGAGGAGAATGGTAAGGCGTAGCGTATTACTATTCAACTAGCAGTTTTTTCCGCAAAGCCTTCAACAGCGCACGCGACGGTGTAACATCGTTCGTTAAATTCAAACTTTTAATATTTTTTTATACTACATTGCCTTCGAAATTTTATTAGATTGTAATAAATTGTGACGTTACTCATTCTGTGTAGTGTTATTTTTTCGAAGTAAGTATAGTTTTGTTTCTTTTTTTTCTTTCATAAGTCAATGATATTTGTAGTTAATTTATTAGAGTTCTAAAAGTATACATATATAAGTTTTACCACAACTATTAATTACAACATCTAACATAAAATATAACCTAATACCTATACAAACGCTAAGATATTCACTAAGTACGTTTCCTGACTAAAACAATGACTTGTTTGATATTCTGATCACGAACAGACCGATCTTCACAGTAAAGGTTTTATAAAGTACTATAAAGGAAGGACGTCACACATACTAATTGCATTGCCCTCATATATTTATGTATATAAAGGGCTTCTAATAAATGTTACAATTACGATTTCACTTCTAAAAACAAATTTGTAAAGACATTTCAGTATTTATTATCTAATGACGCTTATCTATGTATGAATGAGTTTGATTGAAAGTTGTTACGGACTCGAACGAACAGATCATGAAGAATGAAACTATAATTATAGCATCCTTTTAAAAGACTGGTCTCATAGAGAAACTAAATATTTTTCGTAATCCCTATCTATAACTATCTGTAAAGTCAGAATAAGATTATCTAAACGTTTATACAAGAGAAGATTTTGCTCCAGAAAAAAAATCGACTTGAATCGTGATACCATAAAACTGAATTAAGCATTATCATAACCATGAACTAGTTATAAAATTAACCAAACAATGTAATGAAATTAATGATATTTCTATTGAGACCAATTTGAATGTATATCTTTTAAAAAAAAAAAGAAAGACAAAATTCTGGGTTTACAACAACTGGATTAAAAATATCCTTTTTTGCAGTTGGCTAAAAATTAACTGGATACTTTATATCCTTAGATAAATGGTTAAAACTGCTATTTATAACTAATGTATATATTTATACTGTTGTTTTAATAGTCATTATAATATCAAGGTTTATAACAGTTGCGTCAGTACCTTAGGAATATAAATGTACTTATTACTTCATTTAATCACTCCGTATGTTCCATGAACTTTAATATTTATGTAAAAAATTGTCTTAACCTAGTGGCAGACTCACTTAATATTATCAAATGTTATACGTAAAGGCAATGATATAATATCTTATAAAATGTCGTAACGCACTAGTGAAAGTTGCATCTCAGATATGACGCCATTTGGAACTTAAATGCAATACTGCGGTTCGTATTTTTGTAATAGTTACAACCGCGTATCAAAATACTTACATTGTTAGATACAGCAAACATTATTTTTCACTTAAAAAGATAGTCCAACACAGTTCACTCAACACTCATTGAGTGCAGCACTGTGAACATAATTTACCCAGATAACTGAGAGATACAAGTTCGAATCTAAATGGAATAGGCTTCAGGTAATCTCCCGATAACCAATTTTTTATTTAACCTATGATATTTTATGGATTTTTATATGTCAGATTATATGCATGTCGAGTTGTATAAAGTACATATTTTTTAAAAATATTTCGTTTTACATTTCATTGTGAAAAATATTCAATTTTACAGACATAAAACACACAAAGAGATAGAATTAATTTAATTATTAACCAGTGTAAACTAAAAGGACGATATATAAAATTATTCATACATGCAATCTATCATTGATCGAGACAAAATATTGTTAAAATGTTCATAAAAGATACTTAAGTACATTTATGTGCACCAAAATTGACGAATAGGGCAAGAACGCTCGCTGGTCCAAGTTCATATAGGACTTACCCCTATAATCGGATTCGGCTCGTAAAATGTATTATAACTACAGCGCAAAAGAGTTCTTTAGACTGTATTGTAACCATAAAAATAAATAAGATCATAGTTGTATTTAATAGACTTTAGTCTTATTATATGGATTTCAAATCTTTTTTTTTTCTGCCTACTCTAAAAACTTTGGCAGTTTATAGAATCTTGCATAATTTCTCAAGAACAAATTTCATTACCGACATTTTTATATCTCTAACAGCAGTAATAGTAGTTGGTCCTCGTTGCGTAAATTTTTATTGAATTGACCAATACCTACAAAAATATTTGAAAGTTTCGCGACGTTTATAGCTAAGTTAAAAAAGAATTAAAGAAAATACTTTTTTAAGTAGATGACATTATGACTAAGACATGTCTAATTCTCCAAAATGTATAAAAATAACAATATAATTTTTGTATGCAATAAAGTATAAATAAATAAATAAAAATTATCTGTGAGAATACGGAGAGTATAATGGTATTATTTTAAAATATAAATATTGTTTTAATATTGGCTATTTTAGCTCGCATTAATAACCAAAAGTTGTAATATTTTAGAACTGATTGGAAAAAATAAATGTCACCGTTACCGTTAAATTTTTGTGCCTTCTTATCCAGTAATTTCAGAGCTATGTAAATTATGTTTATCACCTGTGCTTGAAATCATCAGATAGTGTTTTATCCATTGAAGTACATGTATGTAACCCTATGGTGCTATCTGTGTATGTATACATAGGATGAGTTATGACAGTGAATGAAACAATAGATGTAAACAATTTATGTAAAAGTAAATCTTTATTTTTAATAGAGGCTTTTGATATTTGTCCACAAAAGAAGTATTATTGTTTTATGTGTGACTAAGTTGTTTTGAACTTCCCAGTAAATAATTTAGAGTGAAGATAAATAGAATTTATAAGAAGTAACTTCTACGAATATTGATTTGCATTAATTTTTCGCTCATTATTCAATTATATTTGGCGAGAAAATAAATAATTATTGCGTTATAAAATCCTTGTAATAATTTTCGACGTTACCTATTGATTAGTGTCTAAAGTCTACACATAATTTTATAATTTGAATACATCAGTCAGCTTAACTTTATAATATACTTTTTGCTTCGATTAATTTTTATGATCCGGTGAAGCAGGCAAAGTCGCAAGTACAGTTAGATATACTAAATTAAATTTTATTTCTATAAATAAAATAATAATTTTTATTTCTATAAGTACTTACCTATATGTGTATATATCTGTTTTAAAATTTATATTTACATACATAGATGAGATTTGAAACCGGTCGTGTATATAAATAATAAAAACATTATAATAAAAACAAAATACAAATACCTATTTTAAATAATATTTTATAACTAATTTAATAAAGTTCATGGTACTGCTCATGTCATGTCTATAAAATATGCGGTTATCACTTTTCATCAGGTGGGCTGTCAGCTTGTTTGCCATTATAAGTTGCATAAAAAGAAGTTTTATCTTAAGAATATAAAAAAATATCTATTCATTTGTATTCTTATAATTAATCTAATAAATATCCAACAGCATTTGACATAATCTAAAATAGAATACTTCAGCTTATTTATTTATTTATTTTGCATCCCTACGATATGATTTAAATATAAAATTAAGGATGTGAACAAACATTTAAAATTGCAACGGAAGTACTTCAATATATTAATTTATGAGAATAATGTGCAATTTTTCCGCTGTGACTTCATACATTCCGGCATAAATTATGCATGTTTCGTTTACGTCAATGTGCAATCAACTATAAAATAATTGTACCTACATTGTTTATAATAATTTCAAACTATAAGAAATACATTTTACATTTCCTTCCAAATTAATTGATTTTCTCGAAATAAAAATAGAAATAAAAATGAAAAAATAAAAATATTGTCCCATGTTTTGTGGTCTCATGAAATAAAGCATTTCAATTAAAAAATAATCATCAAAATTACTTTATAACTATATATATAAGATATTGTTTATACAAAAGAAGTAGAATTTCGCTCCATAAAAAAGCGATGACTTCAATTTAAACAAAATTGATGAGGGTCTGACATGCAATGACGCAAATAAACCCTAAAAAGAATTAACAAAATCAAACCATCATAGGTTTATAATTGGCACAGATATCACGTAACATACACACGAAAATATAAACGAATTCAAAACCTCATACCTTTTGAAGTAACTTATGAATACAATCGAACTGTACACCTTCTTTTTTAGTCTATACGAGTACCAACGTAGGTATTTAGATAGGTAGGTACTTAAGTACCTGTACCTATTGTCCATACTGGAATTGGCAAACATTGTACAGGTATGTACATAGGTACATATATTCATTAAATAGCATGCACTCTATATTTACCTAATTCTACGATTTGGGTAATTGAACAACAGCAGGTAGCAAGGTCAACCGACATTAGACGTTACGCTCTACGCATGCTCTACATATACCGGGTATTTTTTAACCATTACAAAAAGTTTTCATTAGCAATGTATTATTAACTATAAATAACACATTTTTTGCATCAGTTTTAACAACTTCATAATCATACCTACATAGCTTTTTCAGTTCAAGTATAAATTGCATTAAATAATAATTACTATTTTTAGTTATAATTTACATTTTGTAAATAATATTTTAGTAATAATTCATATTCTTATATTTTTATTATTTTTATTATATATATATATATATATATATATATATATATATATATATATATATATATATATATATATATATATATATATATATATATATATATATATATATTTATAACAATTTCCCAATTCTATTGAATATCTTAAATTATTTATATTTACACGTAATTTGAGAAATTTAAAGGTATTCCGTCATCAAACAAATTTAAGCTATTAGCATATAAACATTTGCTAACAAAATGCTTTCAAGGTATTATCATTAAACATATAAAAATTTTTATTGTTTGTTTAATTTACACTAATTCAGACCTCAAATCTAAATACCCTACATATTTAGATATGAATACCGATTAATTCTTATGATATTAATACATTACAATATACTTCAACAAATGCATGATAGATAAGGTAGTAATTTAATATTATCAAAATCATTTTTAAATAATCACTCTAGAATCTAAAATGCTTATACGTGTAATATATTTAGCATACTTAATTAGTGAAATATCATTCACCGTTAGTACACGTTTATGCAATAAAAATTCTAATAAGTATATTAAAAATCAATTTGTAAATTACAGTCAATTTATTCATGAAATAGGTATTTATTAAGTAATTTATTAAGGAACTACGAACAATAAATTCACCTTACGTAGTGCATGTGGGAACATATATCATATCTCATTGATTCGAGCTGTTAGGAGATTACATTTTTTTAATTATATTATTAATTAAGTAGCTTAAGGAACAAATAACAATCATATATCATCTATTAAAATATAAAGGTAAATCAGTCATTAATCATAAGATGAATAGAAAATGATTGTTTTTAATAATAATACAGTTCAACTGTTAGATCGTAGTATTATTTTACTAATATAAACGATGTCTGTACATAGAAATATTAAAAAAAAAAAAAATTTTGAAGTTTTGTGTTACATACACAAAACTTCTAAAAAATGTTTGTTCTGGTATCACGAAAAAATTACTGCACCAAATTGAATGCATTTTTTTTAACGTCAGAGATAGGTGTTTATTTTATCATAATATGGCATCTAAAAGCGATGTGTTTAATTAATTTTTCTACATCTGAAATTCATGTGTACGAAGTAGCAAGCAGAAAGCTAGTTTAATGTAGCCTTGTTAATAAAGTATTGTGTTTTACTTTATTTAATTTAAAAATCCATAACCTACTTGATAAAATAACACCATTTATCAGGTATATATGTATTTTTCTCATCTTTAACATTACAGAAAGTGTTTTGTGATAACAGCAATTGCGAAGATATTATGACTTCTGGGGAATAGATTATTCAAATTTTAATGGTACTCTCCGACATATTCATGAGAGTTGAGCAATGTTACACTCGTGAGAGTACTATGTCACATTGTTAAGCACCGTATCAGGTTTTAGGGCAAAAATAAATAAAGAAAAGAAACTGTAAAAGAAATTGTGTGCTAATTCTCTTTTACTACTGCTATAAATATTACAGCATGTTAAGATATTTGTATATTTCGATAGATCAAACATAGCATATAACTATTTAAACGTATTTTACTCAATCATAGCCTCTTAAGACTAGACAGATGAAACTTGTAAATAATTTGGAAAATTAATACACGAGCCACTTATTATTCCAACTCACTCAAAGAAACCTGCGAGATACAGCAAACATTTTTGTAATTAAAAGTATTACAGTCGGATTTTTTCCTAATAACATCTGACAACAAACAAAAAATATGACAAATTCGAGAGACAACGATGCTCGTTTCCTAGCACTATGCTCGGCGAAATGTAAGTAAATTGAGTGTTACGTTCACAACTACGGCGGAAGTCAACAAAATATCTGTGACTATCTCATCTGTGCTTACAGTTAAGAGCACATCCATTTTTTTCACACTATATATAAAATATTGTAGTTCTTGAAATACAATATTTAAATATTTCTATGTTTATAAAGGAAGATAAGTCTTTCAGACACTTTACATATATACCTAATTATTTACGACGGATATTTCTAATGATTTCTGATCGAATAAACTAAGTTTGTATGCCTATATTACCTTCATCTGCATACAAATTCATGCCAAATACTGCGCGTATACCAAGTTTCATAACAATTTACATTTACAATGTTATTAATGATTCTTTCATATTATTTTTATTTTGTACCAAAATTTTCCATAATTCTTATATTCACGAATACCTACTATCTTGCACAACCTACAAATGTCTATGTATTAAGAAAACTTGTTATTTTTACAGATAATGACGCATTCAACCACATTAATACTACTCACAGTTCTGGTGTCGCAAGTCTACACAGTAAGTACTCCTACCATTAATACCATTAGTTCAATAGATATGTATTACTAACAGACATAATTCACTTGTACGAGGATGGAAACTACTAACTGTCGCTACAAACAGAACCATGGACATAACAGAATATTCAAAAACATTCAAAATTCAAATAATCTTTGTTCAGTTAGATTTGTTGTTATTCCTGAGGACCAAGGTGTTATGTTTCTGTACCCTGTAATTTAATAATCATATTCTATCCTACAAATAGAAACAGTCATGCAAACACAAGTACTTCACGACAGAAACACGAATATCGTATATGATATACATCTAGTCTAAAATAATGTAATTATGAAATATGTAAAAAAAATAATTATGAAAGTTTATTATTGACTACTCGCTATACTTCCAAGGTCATTATTACATTTCATAGAGGTGTGTATCCTATAGTAAGCTTGTTTGCGCGGGGTCACCACTCGAAAACCTGTCTCACTGTATCATATGTACATCAATATACATAAATTCGAAAACCGGAATAAATACTGGCTATAATTTCCAATTCTGACGCAAATAAATATCTTTCGCCTTTAATATATTATTAGTGAGTTGCTGATAGTTCTTCTGAGAATAGTTAACAGGATATCTCTTGCTGTATTTTTATTACATTGACATGGAAAATTACTTTTATTTTAAACATATTTCGAACTAAGATTGAAATGAAATTTTGTTATAGATAAACGTTGGTCAACAGTTGAAATTAATTTATTCATTCGTTCATTTATTGTCAATGGAAATATGAAAATTATATTTTTATACGATGAAATATGATCTATGCTAATATTATAAAGAAGGAAGAAATTATTTGTTTATTTGTTAGTTTGTAATGGAAAAACGCAAAAACATATCAACCGATTTTAAAAATTCTTTCACCTATAGAATTCTACTTAATTCGATTTACTTTTATTCACAAACTATTAAAAAATTCTGTAAATATTCTGTTACTGGAATAAACCATAATATGTTTCTTTTTGTGCGTTTAATGCGCTTTACTGCATACTATATACCTAATACTGATTTCAATGTATTGATGAATAACTGATATCATAAATCATAATTTATAATTAATATTTTTGCCATTTGCAATAACAAAACATTTCCTTACATAACATATGTAAAGAAATATTTTGTTATTGCACATTATATGAGTGTCTATTTAATGGATAAATATGTTGGATTAAGTTGTAATTAAATAATAAATCATCATCATTTCAGCCGTTAACTATCCTCTACTTAATATAAGCCTTCCCCATAAGGGGAATTTTACCAGTAGTTGCCACGCTTAACAGATTCCTTGCTTTTTTTTAGTTGCCTCTAACGACACACACAGGAAAAAAAGGAATGGCCTTTTCTATGCCGGAACCACACGGACATAAATACTTACTTTTTATTATTTTTATATAATATTAAAAAGCGTTAATACTTAAATTTTAATAAAATAAAAATTATATTTAAATTATCTGAATCATATCAAAAATCGAATGAGAATCGTAGTCTGTAAATACCAGCCGGAAGCAGACTATATAATTATTACTTTACGGAGCCGAGGGTCGAAGTACGATGGCCTAAGAGATGCCATGACACCCCTGGGCTTACGTTGTAATCTATTAGGCTTGAGTCGACCTCCAGTCTCTGCGTAAGTCCTCTTCGTGAATTTTAAGTACCCTCAGCATTCGTCTCTGTTAGCAGTTTAGGCCATTTGCATTCAACAACATTGCAGTAGTCCAAAAAGTCCCCATCTCCTTAAATGTAATGTAATATAAATAACTCTTGTTCAGAAACCAATCACGATATTCAATAATTTTTTTATTAGCCCACTTCGTGCCCTTAGGGTATTCGAGGAAGTAAAAGGTAAAACAAATATTTATGGTTGAAAGAAGTTCACTGTTGGTATTGGAAATTTCAGAAATAAGTTTTATAATTAAAAAAAATATTATTAGAAATCAGAGGATACCTATCCTTTCGATTTTATTTTTCATATGTATGCTCAAATTAATTATATAATAATTCTGAATCTGACGAACCTCTATCTAAATATCAGCTCTGTTATAATTAGAAATGCTACTACAATTAAAAAAACTCGGGTAACAAACCCTGTAATTAAATTTTAGTACTTTCCTACTTGTATATTTTTACTAAAAAATAGTTTTTACACAATAGTAAAGCATTTGGAATTTATTTGTATATAATTGTTCACAGTAATTTTCTTTTATTTATAGTGCATAATATTTATAATAGGCTTGCTATAAAAAGCTATAGTTTCTATCAAAATCGGTCAGTGCAATGAAATACTTTAAAGTTTATCCATAGTCTAAAGAACACTATCTTATTCGTTTAATGGTAATATCTAGATTTTTCACAAATTATCACAAATTATCATTTAATTGTTCGCAACATGAAAAGTTTCGTTTTACCTCATTCCTTTTACCGCTATACCTCTCTTCATAGAACTAGAATTCATTCGCATTTTTTGAGTGCGTAATGATATAAATAGGATTATGCTTGAACTTGGAAACATAAACAGCCGTCGTGTTGATGACCTCTTGATTTCAATGGTAATTATATGTGATTTCATTCCAACCAATTTTTTGTTCCATCGTATATCGACAATGTAAACCGGCAGTAAACAATTATAGAGAATGGAATAAACCCAAGGTTAAAATTAAACAAGTAACAATCATTAATAAGAGAGGAAACAAAATGAACTGTTGCTTTATATCCTCTTATACTAGTAAGTTACTTGCTTAATTTTAACATTGCACAAAACAAAAAAGTATACGAAACTGCAATATAAACATTTGTAAAATGCGACGGTCCGAAGGAAAACATAAAAAGCAGTGGCCGGGAAACAAAAATCGTAAAAGTACCTGCAGAATGAATTGAGCACGAACCAACATAAGGTTGGGCCTGAATAACAAAATAGGGAGTTTAGATTTTCTTTTATGATTTCCTTCCGTAGGTATTCAGATGAGTATATAAAAAATGTTGACACATCCTTCTCAATATAGGGTTTCGAATTCTATTCTAAAATTAACCAATTTAAAGAATAAAATGAATAACCACCGTGTTAGTTATCCACTATTTATTCTAAATAGTTGCCCGGTAGACTACATTAGCCTATTTATTGTTAAAAAATAAAATTATCGATAATAAATAAAAAAATAAAAATGACTTTAATTATTTTTCATATCTTACATGATACAATTAAAATATAATAATAAAAAAATATACAATAAAACTTAATAAATTATGATCATAAATTTCAACATTTTGTAAATGTACATCATCTAAAACAAGTATTATATATTTTACTATGAAAATCGATTTCAGTCTCGAATACACATACACATATCGATTAACAAATAGACATTTCATATACTTATTACAATCAAAGTGTTTTAATCAGATCGCGGAACAAACTTGCAAAATATATTGTAACTCGCATTTAATTGCTACGCAAAAACAACAGCAGCTTCTATTATCACAAGTTAATATATGACCATTTATAAAGTAAACCCCATCGATTCGAAAAAGAGCTGTCGTTGAAAATTGATTACATAAACGTGTAACAAACTAAAAACATTCAAATGAAATAAAAATATCCTTATTTTGACAGTCTCTTAAAGTAATCATCATATCATCCGTTAACTGTCCACTGCTGAACATAGGCCTTCCCCATAAGGGGAGGTTTGCCAGTAGTTGCCACGCTTGACAGCTGGATTGGCAAACGCAGGTAGTCTTTAGAGATGTTTTAAAAGGAATGCTGCCGCTCATCCCTCGACCATTAAGCTCCCAAAGTCGCCTCTGACGACACCCACGGGAAAGAAGAGATGGCCTGTTCTATGTACAACATAACAATAATAAATAAATCAACAATATTATTCTTTATATTTCATCTAAACAGTGTGTCACAACAATTACTGGACATAAAATAATTACACTGGGTAATTATGTGTAACCGTCCGTCATGGAAACCGCCATGTTGCATAATGACGCAGATGATTGTTAACATAAAAGAAACATAAATATTTTAAACAACGTTTAAAGTTTTTTTTTTTTTTTTATAACATTTTAGATCAATATGGTGCCATTTTTATTTATTTTATTTTGATTTTTATATTGATTTTTAAAAACATTTTCTTCATCTTCCAGCCCTTATCAGAATAATTTGAGATCGGTGTAATATATTATTCATATTACATAAATACAGTGTTCAAATAAAACCCGAATTCAACTGAGGCAAAACTAATTATTTTGATTTAAAAACTGAACTACTAAACCGATTTTAATAAAATTTAGTATAGGGTCAATCCTTATGAATATCCTTTCAGATAAAAATAATTTTCCATTTCAGTTTATATAACAAAGGTAAGAGGTGACTAATAAAAAAAAGAACTGAATTGAGAACCTTCTTCTTTTTGAAGTCGGATAAAAATGTTTCTATCGTTAACCCTCCTTGGGATTGCATTCGGTGCTTGATATCATTATAGGTTGAAGAAAAAGGAAAGAGACAATGAGAGTAAATAAAGAGAGTTGGTAAAAACAGAGGATTAATAGAGTAAAGTCAAAGGAGAGACATAGCAGTTGCGGAGAAGACACTGGTTAGAAACTGCACTGGCTCAGCAGGCCGGGGTTACATACCTGCATACCCTTACTTCAGAACCAGACGGACTAGACTAGTCCGTCTGGTTCTACTACACTACTGATACTACACTAGACGGGAACCCCCCTGGCACTCCTGATTTTAAAAATCATACCTACTTAATTAGATAATTTTATATTGTGATATAACTGTATTTTTCTTATAAAAAAAATATATTTTCAAAGCATGTTAATTAAACATAAATAGTTTAATATATTTTTGAGCTAATAATTTTACTTTATTTTTATTATAAATAAAGATGAAATTAAAATTGGAAAAGATTTGAATAATGTATTAAAACTTTAATAAATATATTGAATTTGACTCCTTTTATAAATGAATAAATTAATAAAACAGAATTAAATATTTTTCTATCTTCCGTGAGACAGCTTAAACTAAGTCCGAGACTCATAAATAATTCAAGAGCTAATAAAAATGATTTACTCAGTGTTCTAAAAGCAAACGTGATATAAAAATTTTTAAGAAAATGTTTTACGAGACAAAACAAACATTACCTACTTGATATGTTTATAACAAAAGCGAACACACGCCCTACCTCTGTGTTTGTAGTCACTATCTAATAGTGGGTATTAAATTATTCTTTCCTATATGAGGATAAGCGAGCTGAAGTGGCAATAAGTTGGTCGCATAGCTCGATGAACTAACAACCAATGGAAAAGACGTTCTTGAGTAACAACCCTGTACGGGTAAACGCAGTGTAGAACGACCCCCACTATATGGAGTGACGATCTCAAATCATTGTAGAAAGCCATTTGATAGAAGCGGCTTAGGAGTACTCAGAACTGTTCCTTATGACAATCTATGGCATAGACTTCAGTAATGAACAGATACTCGTAATTGCTGACATGATCATGATGATGATGGTGGTACTTATACATAAAATAAAAAAATAATTCAAAATCAAAAATATATTCATTTTACCTACTATTGAGATTTACGTAAAATTTACGCTACTCTAACAATCATTACTGTTCATAGTTTCTTTAAGTAACAAAATAAAGCAGTTAAAGAGGCTGAATAGACCAATCTCTGAGTAGCACCGTTCAAGAAAATGATAGCCATTATTGCATTCTACCAAATTTCAGGAAGCCTTCCTATATAGTCAATATATAAGATCAAACATCAAAGTATAATACGTAACTTCAATTTCCACATTTACGAGAATACTTTGAGTTAGATCATAGTTCTTGATATTAAATGGTGTCCATTATTAAGCTGCGTACACAATGGAGAGCTATGTTTAGAATGATGTATATTCGATTGGCACTCTGTTATCTCGCTCACAATAGGAAATCCGAACCGTTGTTTAACTCACCGCCGAATTTACGATGGGTACCATATTGACAGCTTAAACGAGCTCTTACAAAACAATACAGCAGAGTTCGTTTGTTATAACTCAGTGAAAACAAAGATTAAACTTGTCATAGTATGTACAAATGTGTATGCTCATATTATTATTTGTTTGCATTTTTTAAACATAGCTCGAAGAACCGACAAGCGATAGCGATGAAAGGTTCCTCAGCGACCCCGTATAGGCAAATACAGTATAAAATAACTCCGATTAGATGGAGTAACGAACTCAAGTGCATTGCAGGAAATCAGTGGATGCACGTGACTCAGGATTGTTCCTTATGACAGTCTATGATAAAGACTTATGTTCAGCAGTAGACAATGACTGAAGTGATGACGATAGTAATATTAAACCGAAAAGCAGTGTGTGTTTTCATGACTGTATTTTTTATATCCAGTACCATGGACTCATGTCTACAGGCGACAATTACCACTTTCCATTAGGTGGGCAATCAGCTTGTTTGCTATTCTAAGTGGCATAAAAAATCAATAAATAAGGAGGTATAATTTACTACACAGAAAAGGCATCTTCATAACAGAACACAGCGATAAATGATGAAATATTTCTTCGATTGAAAAATGCTATGCACGAACATAAGTTTTTTGCAGACGGGTAATAAAAAGAGAAAATGGAATAAAATATTGAGTCAAATTCTTTGTTATGAGAAAGTCTGAGTGAAAATGTAATAATACATTGAATTACGGTTGCATCTTACTATTTGGGATATGAAAGCATATGTATATGTCATCAAATACTTCACGAGGCCTCGTAATGAAATTTTAATTACGTGTGCATAGTGAATAAAATGAGTTTTTTTATGAAATGGAAATAGTATAGTAACTATGCCGGCAGGATACTTGAAGTTTCCAGGGCCATCGTGTTGAATTAACTGCGATAATTTGCAGAAAGAAGAGTCTAAGCTGATCTGAGAGTCCTATATTACTTGCTTAGAGATCAGATAAAGGGATTGTTAATAATGGAGTCTAGAATATACTCTTCCTTCTCCTGGAAACCGACATGGTTAATTCTTGTTGAATATTTCACGATGGGCCAACTGACCTGCTTTTATTCCGACCTATCGTTTTTCACCGGTAACCTGGCATCATATTCTAATAGCGCAAACGGGGTTGCTATTCTATTTGGTACTAATAATCTCCTCGGTACTAATAATCTCTACTTACAATTGTGTTTTGTAATTATGTTTTGTATTTTGTAATATATATTTGTAATTAATATAACCTATTACATTTACTTAGGTATATTTAATCCTTTATGTATCATCGGTATTTATAAAATTAAATAAATATAAAACAATATGTTCACGACTCACTTCTTTATAACAAAACCGAGAATAACAAACTGACAGCCCGCCAGGTAGAAAATGATAACCGCATATTTTATAGACATGAACAATACCCTTACAATGTCATCAAATTATTTGTGACGGTTATGGCGCTCAATGCGTCTCTTGAGTAATAAAAGATGCAAAAACTATCTTGTGCGAGGCTTTTCAGGGCTTATTCACAATATTTTCTATTTTATTATGAAGATTATATACCATCACAAACCATAGAGCAACACAACGTGTCACTATCGTTACGCCGAATCCTTAGATGTATAAGTAGAAAGAACCGAGTGCCAAATGCCTCAATCTTTAAATACGAGTACATCTCTTATTTCATCCACTTTCATAAGTCGTCTCATGTATGCACATCGTTTAGATACTAATAATCAAGTAGACTACTACTTTTAATTAGTGGAGAAGTCAAGCTCTCTCAAATAAAACATAGTTTATACCTGATTATTATTAACCCATTTCTATATATTATTACATAGCGATAATATGTTTTCATGGAGTAGGCTTCATTTTTCTTCTCCATAAAAGGAAGTAAAAGGGGGAAACTATTTGTCAGAAAGAAACATGGTCTTTTGATTGATAATACAAACTGGACGGTGTGAGGAAGCGATGAAAAAGTCGTTCATCAGGGCAATAAAAAACAAATAAATTCAAAAAATATTTACTACTGACTTTTCAAATTGTGCTTTTATCGAGTCATAAAATAATGAATAACCTTGGATTATTTATTATTATACTATTTATTGGTACTGCTATTAAACATTTTTTTTTTCTATAATAATACAATATAACTAAAGTAATATCTTTTATCAAAAACAAAACCAACAAGAGAATTTTCGAGTCTGCTTCTATTAGGTACTCGGAATAATTAGATTTGTCAACCATAGTTATCGATATCGGGGACTTAAAATTTTAAATTGACACAAGATTTTACTCAAAATATTTGAGCTAATAAGCATCGATAGGCGACGTTTACGACAATAGGTGATAATGCAATTAATTTGCAAAATTTTTACCTAATATGGAATGGCAAACAAGCTAATGGACCATCTGATGGAAATTAGTAACTGTCACATATAGACATGAACGATATCATGGGTACAGAATATATTGCGATGCCTGTAATTAATGTATAGTTTTTCTGAAAATTAACATGTGAAGCCTCGTGTTAGCCTCCATACCCTGTAATTTCACTGCCATATTCTCATACTATTCAAACCGGAACACAGTCTTAAAAGCATAGCTAGCGGCAGAATTACAAGTAAAACAGAAGGACTAAAACAGACGTCTTTTGTATAATATGTTCCTTAGATTATTAGAGACTATAATGTTATAATGGAGCAAATAATAATTTAAATATTTTATTTCAGGCACCACAGCTGATTACATTCAATGATGGCAAATTAGGAGTGAATTTTGGAGGGTACCACGCAGCTGTCGGCATTGGAGGATTAGGTATCTTATTTATACTAAGTAAATACGAGAATAAACTTAAATATTTACAAAATTAGAATAATACTAATAGGTAAGACTATTTCGATTAAAAAAAATAATCATAAAAACAGATTCAGACTCATTGAGGAAGGTATATATCTTTTTTTTAATGTTAGGTTGATATTAAATTTGTAAATATAAACAAGTGTTAAATAAAGATATTTACATAATAACAAAAATATTTAAAAAAAATGCTTTCTTTTTCAAATATATGGTTTATTTATGTAATATTTAACCAGAAGTATTAAAATAAGTTTTCTTTTTCAAAATATTATTAATCGTTATACTGTCAAATATGATATAACTATAACGAAACATGTATACATTTAAATAGTTGAATACATAATATACACAATACTTTTATCAGGTGGTAAAGGAGGAGCAACCGGCGGCCTCTTCGCTGAAGCTGGAACACCTTACGGTCAGTCAGCGAAAGCTGGACTAGGTGGAGCAGTAGATTCCAAGGGAGGATCTGGAGGTAAAAATATTTTATTGATACTAGATGTTCTTATTGAAATTGTAATCATATTGTACTTCTATTGACATATTCTTATAATTAAAGCGCCGTCAATAACACGATAATATAATGATATCACAATTGTTAGATAGTGTTTTTGTGTGTGTGTTATATAGTCTTTTTATAAAAAATCAAAATGTCACCTCTGATATTAGTAAAATCTAAAACATACACGACAGATTTTATTAATGGCAAAGTGAAAAAAAAAAATCTGTCCTGTGTATGCCTTAAAAAGTAAAAACATAGAAAAAATATTTCAATAATTCTCTAACAAATATTAATTTAATTTTGATATATACGGAAAGTTCTAAATAGATTTCTACAACTAGTAACTAATTATCAATTTAAGCACCTTTGGGAACTGAATCGAGAACACAAGAGAAAGCACAATAGATTTCATTAATTGGCCGTAATAGTGTTGTGGAATGGCAGAACGTGTCCCTCGTTTAAAGTAATGTAAATGTATTATTTTAAGTTAGTTGAATAATTCACTGTTTATGTAGAGACTTCTTGATGGAACTTCATTATATCGTTAATATGATATTATTTAAAGTACTTGTACTTTGTTTTCTTTGTATCACTGTCTTTATTATAATGTTTATAAGTTACTTTAATTGTAAATAATGTAAGTACCTAGTCCTCAGGTTTACATATTTAGACTATTTTGATTGAGTACTGTTATTATTTTCAAGTAACAGCCTGTATTGAGCACAGATTACATGTAAAAACTACTGTATAGTGCGTCGAATAAATTAGATAGCTAAATATTTTGAAACAATTATGAACAATCTTGCAAGGTTTTTCTAACATTGATGGGATGTTTCGGGTAACAACAAAGTGCAAAAATTAAAAAAAATAATTCATTTCTTGTATTATAAAATGCGTACTAAATTATTAATATGTTTAAATTGTTTTTTTTATTTTTTTAAAGTCCGAATAACATTATTTTAAAGAGAAAAACCTAATTAATAATTATTAACTCCAGGAGTGGCATCATACCGGGACTGATAAAATCCAATAGCTTTTGATAGAACGACGTTTATCATATCCACTAGCAGATAATAAAATTTATATATAAAATAAAATTTAATAAATAAAAATATTCAAATCTACCTGTAGATAAGTTTCAAACAAAAACTATATATATATATATATATATATATATATATATATATATATATATATATATATATATATATATATATATATATATATATATATATATAATTATATTACTAATATACATATGTATATATGTATATATTTTCAGGAGGTCTATATGCTGGTGCAACTGCTGGCGGTAATGTAAGAGCAGAAGCTGGTCTTTCTGGAGGAGTAGAAGGAGACAAAACAGCTGGGGTTGGCTACGCTTCAGCTCAATCTGGAAACCACATGGCAGTTTCGGGCCTGGTAGGTGATAGAATTGAACTTGCCAGAAGAAGAAAAGAAGAGAAACGCATTAGAAAAGAACAAAAGAAGCAAGCTAAAAAAGCGTTGAAAACAATTGATTAACTTCTGGGTTTTATATATGTGTCTTTACTAATACTCATTTTACATGCTTCTGTATTAAATAATACAATACCCAGATTTTATTATTAAAATATATAATAATATATGTTGTTATAATTAACCCAATATTAAACCTTTATCTTAATTCTTTATACTCTAAACCTAAGAAATTGACATTTTAAAAGGTACAGTACCCTGGTTTTTAGCGCATGCGCTATCATGTTCATAAATCATTATGCAAAATAATGTAAAACTGTACATGCATGAAGCTTCCATCATTAATAGTATGTCTATGAATAAGAGTAAATTTTTCCAAATAATATTATTTACAAGCACTTTTAAATCTTCACTTTCTTCTGTTCTGCTGCTAGATTCGGTATTAAAATAGCACTCATTGTGAATGAACTATCACTAAAGCCACGCTATCCATACATAACAATAATATTGTAATACTCGTAAAATACATATTTTAATATTTGTTTTTCTACAGGGAGGAGATACATCTGCAAATGGAGGCTCAGGATTCAAATTTTCTGGTACTAAGTCTTTTGGAATATCCAAAGGAAGTGTAATAGAAACAGATGTAGCTGTGCAACCAATAGAAGTAACGAAACCTGTTCACAAAAAAGTTCATAAAGAATTCGACTTTGATGCTGCAAATGAAGTCAATTTCGTTCCATTGAAGGACGCAGAAGTTAATGCTGAAGCAGATGTCAACGTAAAAACTGAGGTGCAACCTGCAGTTGCTGTTAAAGAAGTGAGCAAAATTTTGTTTTCAAATTTAATTGAGTTAAAGAAATATTTTTTATTTATTAAACTTTAATGTGCTTTGACTTTAATATCATTTTATATAAATAACAAGTGTCTCAAAATAGGAGCTACATACTATTACACGTGTAATATATTCTGTCTATGCACTATTAATTTCTAAAAATAACGATGGTATCTTTGTAAACATTACAGGTATATGTAGAATCTCAACCACGAGTAATAGAGAAACATATTATTCACACGCATTACAAACCCCATCACCACTTGCGTAAGACTACATACATCGGTGGTTTCTCTGGAGCAGACTTGCCACCTCAACCAGCTATCGAAAAAAGAATTGATGTAGGCGTTGAGAGTGCTGCTAGTGCTGGGGTTTCAGGTGATGAAACTGTTAATGGAGGTGCTGGAACTCAAGGAATATATACAAAACAAGTTACATTTCAAAGAAATCCAAACTTCTTTGCAGATATTTTCAATGTAAGTGAAAATAATGCGTAACTTATCACTCAAATAGAATTTTACCAATTATATTTTTCTTTAAAAATAAATTATATCATTATACTGTATATATAGGTATGTATATAATACAATATATATAATATAGTAATCTATCTACTTTTTTTGGTTGGTTTTATTATCATATAAATATTTATTTGATTTTCTATTTCCTATAAAAAAGAACATCATTAAGTACATGTGCAAACATATTAATAAATTTCAATACTAAAATGAAAGGTATAGATATAATACAAATAATTAAAACACCCAAAATTTATTTAATATTTTTTTTAAGTGCAAACAAGCTGACGGTCCACCTGATGTAAAGTGGTAACCGTCGCCTATAGACATGAGCAGTACCATGGACATAACAGAGTATACTGTTTCGCCCATGATACCCCCCATGCGTTGCCATTCCTGAGGACTCAGGTGTTATTATTCTGTACCCAGTAAAGTACGCCATATCCCACTGAAACACAGCCATGCAAACATAAATGCTACACGGTAGAAACACGAATGGGACAAAGGTGCCCAAGTAAACGACTTTTGTACAAAGTCTTCCTCTGGTATTTCATAAAATGTCTATATCCTATAATCATAATTTTCACAGATTCCCATTTCAACTCTGAAAGCAGTGGGTAATTTCCTTACTAATACTGCCGGAAGCACCAATGTTTCCGTTCAGAAAACCGGCTCCGTGCAAGCAGGTGCTTATTTTGTGTAATAATAATAATATAATACTATATTAGAATAAGCTTTGTACAATGACATTAATAAAATTATTAAATTGTATTGAAATTTTATTTTTATTTAGAACAAGGTATTGTATTTTGATTGCCGTATACCTCGATTTATTTTTACATCTACGTAAAAATATTTATGCACATTTTATAGCTGTGATAAGACGGAGCGCGACCCTACTGAACGAAACGCTGAAGGATAATCTTAGCGCTTCCATTACTCTCATAACTCTGATATTTTTATCTTTCAGATTTTATTAGGTTTTCTTTTTACGAGAACCACCTAACAAGGTGTTTAAATAATTTATACAAAATTATTGTACTCGTATTTACTTTAAACAATGACAGTATCTCAATTCAATTTTAATAATTACCAGTGTTAACTTGAATGGTGATTGTAAGTTACAAGTCACATTATCACAAGTTTAAACCTCGTCAGGATCAGATAAAGGATAGATATTATGATAAATTTTCTTATAATTTTATAGTTTCATATTTTGAGGAATAATTAATCGTAGTTTAGATTACAGAACATTCAGTCCAGCCTAGGATGTTAATAATTTTTTTTAACCTGAATTAAATTCAGGACACCGTAGATACACTATTGAAATGATGAAATCTATAACAGACATATCAGGCAAAAGAAATTTATAATTTTGTATATAAACGACAGCATTACTAGTGTACAATCCAACTAACCAGAGAAAGAAAACTAGGTTGATTTTACTAAGAAGAAGAAAAAGAAAATAAAATCTCCTTTTATTCTACATTTATTTTATTAATTTTATATCACATTAATAAATTATTTTCACAATTAAAAGCATGTCTAAAAATCATACTTTATGCTAATAACAAATTATTTTTAAAATAATAACAATGAACACCGACTCTAGACTTTTCTAGTCTTAGAGTCCATATTTGTCGATATCATTTCAATTTTTTTTAAACTTTTTATATTTATTTATTATGTATTTTCTGTAACAGAATCTGACACGAATTCATCGAAGCATGCTCCAGTATCATCACTTTCGGATACAGAAATTTCGGTACAGACACCGATTGTATCCCAAGTTATTGACGATATATTAGCTGTAAGTTCATTGGCATGTCTAAAACGTTTTTCACTGATCAACCACGCTCATAATACTTATACAAATATTTATTTAAATATCATTTATTTTAGTATTTTAAATATTCTATATATTTTAACTGTAATTATATTTATCTGCTTTGACTGGTTTTTTTAATGCTTTTGACTACTAACAAATAATAATTTCATTAAATAAGATTTTGCAGGTTTGGTAAGTACGATTTTTACTACAAATTTAGATTAGGCTTGATTGTGGTGATGATAAATTTTACGTTTGTGGTCATGGAAGATATTTATATCTAAATAATTAGAAGTTATTATCTGGTACGTATTGTATATAAATTTATTATCTATCTATAAATTAGAATAAAATTTAATCTTCTTTAATTTAATTAGCAAAGATAATTTTTATAAATATATATTTTTATTTTGGTGATAGTTGGCACTTGAAGAAATTTTTAGTTTATAATTTTTAAATGAAAACACTTAGACGATTGCACAAATTTAGTTTTTATTCTAGAAATTTTGTGATCTGTCCCAAATAACTACTCTTTTATAATTACAAGCAGTCAGATCATAAAAATTACATAGCTTTAAATGAGAAAGGTTAATTTATAAGTTTAAAAGTATATAAGTACTAAACTATGGTATTATTTTTAGATAAATTTAAAATATGATATCTAAAAAATAAGTTATTTTTATGGCACTGATTTAATAAGTAAGTTTGAAGACAAATCTATTTAAATGAAAGCAGTATTTACCGATATTAGACTTTTTTAAGTCTAAATATCAAACAAGCTATTAGGTACTAGGACAAATGCCACCATAGCGTAATATCTCCGTAATAACTGTGTAATTCCAATGCCAAGTCAAACGTTACCTTTCAAATTGAAATCCAGCCATGCAAGCATACATCTACTTGGCGGTGAAAACACGAATAAGATACTAATATCGTGACATATTTTATGTTCTGCCTGAAGAAAAAGACAAAACTTTGGAATTGCCATGTTGAATAATAAAAGTAGATGAAACAAGAGATGTAAGGATAAAAGTATTTGGCTCAGTTTTTACTATCTCTTCCGTAAGGAATCTGACATAAAAATAGATAAACATAATTGTATCGAAATACTATATATATGTAGATGTAATCCCACTTCTTCCTTTCTTATATGTGTCGTAAGAAGAGGTAAAAGAACTAAGGGAGCTTAATAGTCGAATAATGGGTTGCAGCGTCCCTCTTTAAACATTACTAAAGCTTAACTGCGTTTACCAACCCGCGTGCAATGTGTGGCAACTACGGGCAGAATCCTCCTAATAGGGATAGGCTTGTTTTTAAAAGTGGACAGTTAACGGTTGATATGAAGATTGAAATTCTGAAATACTATAAATTCTTAAATAAAATCAATTTTAATTTATCAATGTTGCAATCATTATTCAACTTTTAGTTGAATAAACGAGATTTTGTTGCAATAACTGAGATTGTGAGCGATAATAATATGTTAAAAGAAGCCACGATCACTAGTTATTTGAAAAATATGTATTATCAGTATATCAGTGATATAGCCTTAACAACCTCAAATGTAACAAAAGCCACAAAAAAATACCAGACCGGAGTGGATGGATTACATCTTCTCCTAAAAAATGGGGAAAATAAATTGCGCGTCACATTGCTACGAGAATTCATTTGGTAAAGTACACACAATCTGATGTTTAAAAACACAATGTAGGAAAATGGATATGTATCCGAAAGTAATCATATATAAACGTTTCTGTTTTTTTTTTATAAAAAATATCCGTTTGGTTATTTTATTATTCGTTATCATCCTGATTTCAGATTCCCATTAATACACTTGGTGCTGTGAATAAGTTTTTGGAGAACAATGTGCCGGCTAGAAGAAAAATTGTCCAGGTATATATGTGATAACAATTAAATGTATAATTAATATTTAATAGTATCTATAAATTAAAAATATATAAATTCTATAAAATATATAAAACGGCCAAAATCAATAAGACGGCCTTAAAAATAGTTTAATATTTTTAAATAAAAAAAATATACTTTTGTATATTTTTTTTTATTTTGATATTTAATAGTACGATAATCTAATTTTATAATATTTAATTGTATTATTATTTTTTTACTTATTATTGTATTATATATAATATATTTCTGTATAATTTTAGACCTAAAAGTCATTAAATATCAGGTCAAAAGTAATTAATTTTCAGAATCCCTTTATTTCACAATCAGACTTAAACTAGATTGTTTAGCAATATCGACGAAAGCTTCTTATAGGCACGAAATGACTTCATCTCGTACCAGAGGCGTCCCAATTATTTCGCTCAATGTAGACGCGCAACGTTTCCTTTCGATTAGCACTAAGTGTCATAAAGTGAGGGTACTCTACATAGATACGACAAAAGGTTTGTTGAGGACAATATTGTCTTCAGTTCTCAGAATTAATATTAATTCTCGAAAAATACAATATATAATATATTAATATTATTGCCACATAATATAGATAACTATACTATATAATTAGTAATAGTGCTTAGTAATTCCGTATATTTTGGCCTTTCTCCGTCTTACTCTCGAGTTGACCTTCGTCCTTTACCTCATGATCGTCCGAAAATAGTTACCACCATACCATACCACCTTATATATATATATATATATATATATATATATATATATATATATATATATATATATATATAGCTATAGCGTTCTAGATATACTTATGAATATCTATTTTACAAAAACTTAATAATATTGAAATACATTTTTTAGTACATTTTGTACTACTTATTTTAACTTGTTAATTTACAAGTGTCATAAATGGCTCAAATAAAGTGTTTAACTATCTACATTTTAAGTGTACACTACCACATACTTGTAATTTATAATGAAGAAAAAATATTTACAATTTTTGAAAGTATTCCTTGCGTTATATCAGATAACAAAAAAAAATTAATTCTCAATTCCAATCACCAATAGTTCTACCAAGGCATCAAAAATTAGAATATTTTGAATAATTTACTAATTTATTTATGTACCTACCTATATATTTAAGTTTTCTAATAATAATTTCACTATAGGATAGAAATAATTATTTCAAATCACTGACTTGAAAGAAATAATGGCAATGCATGAGAAATTATTCTGATCAAAGCTCGTAATTACAGCATTCCTCACCAATTAATACCCTTCATAGGCAGATAGGGATAGTATGGACGCTTGACTTCTCTATGGTAGAAATTAAGCAATATCTCTATAATATAACAAATACAACCATATCCTTATAACACATTACATATGGAGTAAAATCAAAATCATTATCATCCATTTTAAAAAAGTATTCCACTACTGATATTGCTAATAAAATGTAGGTTGATAAAAAAAGTAAAAAAATTCAATCTCCCATATACGAAATTTTATTAAAATCGGTTTAGTAGTTTAGTTTTAAAATAAAATCACTAATTTTCATATAATTGAAGCTAGAATTGTTTTGAAACAAAATTTTACATTATTGTTGATTAAAATATTTACAAAAGTAATTAAATTTGTTACACAGGTCAGTCAAAATGAGACTATTGACTCCACAAGGCCTAGACTGGGACGTCACGCGAGAAGACGAGCGAATAAGCATGTTGTTATTATTCAAGAAGAGACAGAGAAACCAGAAACTAAAGAATAACTTATACGTATTATGTAATACTACATAAAAGTACAAAATATGTAATAAATGAGATAATATTTACAATTTACAAATATTTTACAAATGAGAGGCATTTTGATGTAATAATTATAAGTATTGTTATCAAAACATGTAATAAAATGTGTGATATTATTTGATGTTTTTTTTTTTTACTTTTATTACGACGAATAAGAGGATAATGTCTTTGTTGTGATCATTTCTACTACTACTGAGTTGATTTTAACGTCCATTATTTTGTATTCAATTGTGAAACCCTAACATGTCACTTAGCAATTAAATTTTTAATATACTCTAACCGAACTGTATAAAATTTTATAATTCACGACTTTTTATCTTTATGTCTTTTATCTATTGTAGTAGAAAGATAGGATAATATAAGATATAGATTTGAAAAAGGATTTTTATATGTAGAATGATGAAAAACATAAAAACCCAGAATAAATAATAGTACAACCTAGACCAGCCGTGCCGATGCCATTTCTGAGAACTACGATGACTTGCTTATATTAGTACAAATTAGTTATTAATAATGGTAGACAGGCCTGACAGATATGTATGTATGTATATAGTTCTTAATATTATATTATGTTAGATTGCTTCTATATACTCATATATAGAAAAATATATAATTAATTCTAGTGTTAAATACTATATTACATTATATAAAAAAACAACGTACATTGGCAAATACTACTCTAATGACTTATAATCGCTAATTATATTTAAATTGTTATACAAATAATATGTCATTATTTATTTGTATATCTCCATCATCAATAGAAATGAAAACAATAATTTTTAAACATTTTGTCTATCTATCTGTTTGCTTGAGCATCACGCATAAACTACAATACCAAATTGCCTTAAACTATACACTGCTGAACATAAGCCTCCCCTTTGGGGGATTTTGTCAGTGGTAGCCACGCTTAGCAGGATTGGCACCAGCAGTTAGGCTTTGAGGATTTTTTAAGAAGAACACTGTTGTCCCTCCCTCGCCCTCCCTTAGTCGCCAATTACGACAGCCACGGTAAAGGAAGGGGTGGCCTATTCTTTGCCAGGACCACACGATCATTATACATTAATTGCAAATTAATTTATAGTAACACTAGTATTTATCCGTAACTTTGTCTGTGATATAGATATGTTTGACTGGAATAAAAAGTAGTTTGTCCTTCTCCATTTCAAAGATTACGTATTTTATTATTAGTTTACACCAAACTTTATGACGAGTAGCTTTTTTTATATCAAAGTCAGTTAAATTATTAAGATGCCAAGAGGGAACAGGCAAATTTACTATTCGTTCATTTGTCAGTATTTAAATAATTCAAATTCATTTTAATATTATAATTACAAGCATTAATAAATGTATATTTGGTACAAACTAAAACACTGCTTCAAAGGTTAATAATTCTTGATTACGAATAAGTAATATGTATGTTAAATAGATTCCAAGTTAAAAGTAGCACAAAATATGTAGTTTATGTAATTACACACGGCTGCCGCGTCACCAATTCTTTTTTTTAACTTAACTGGAGACGCTTCCGCGTGTCAAGATAGGCACAACACATACATACAACACAACCTACACCTTCTGCTTAATAGCACTCCATTCTCTATTCTGCAATTAATAGATTGATATATCTATTGGCATAGATTAAACGAATGGAGAAATTTGAATAGCGAATATGCAAAGAAAGATAGGAAAAGAGAACGAGAGACAAAGAGAGAAAAACTCCAATAAAAGATATATATAAAAGAATTTTGAGCGAAAAATCGCACATTTTTTTAGTTTGCAAGAGCAAACGGTGATTTCGTTTACACAAAATAAATATGGGACCAATACAAAAGTCGGTAGTTAAACCCTAAAGTTAAATTTGATGAGTAAAGCTGATATAAACTATATAATTATAATGGAAGTGATGGTATCGATTGCAAAATTGTTTTTCAGAACTAGCTTTTGCCCGCTACTTTGTCGCGTAAGTTTTGAAAATAGATATGTCAATAAAATAGACTACTTCTAGTTAACGTAGCGAGATAAAACATACACCACATTTTAAGTTAGATCTTCAGAAATACAAGTATGAGAACAGCATTTAATTTAGTACAGTAGTTTTTTGCGTGATGTCCGAACAAACATACAGAAAGAAACAAAAATTCTAAAATTTATAGTTTTCACTTCTATTGTTCTTATTAAGATCCTTTATATTAATTTTTCTTAATATATTTTCTATATACGGATATCGTCTAATTATAATTTTTATTTATATTAATTAAATTTTTAAGATAAGATTAGCCACGTAAATGGTCACTAAAACCAAAATGTAAAATGACGGCCTCATTTATAAAGTCTTTTGTAATTCACTTAAATACATCCTAATGATGGCTTCACAGGATCAAGTTGTGAGGTCCAGTTTTCAAACAGACTTGTCATGCACACTGATAACATTACACCGTCAAGTTTACTGGGCGCCACTTCAAGTTCGATGCAAACTTGATAGCAAACTTTATAGTGTATGGCCACCATAGTTTACATAACTTAAACCCCTGCCGTTTGCATTAGAGTTTGTTGACAGGTGCTGCTCCCTTTATTACAAGAAGTTTGATTACATTTATACATGCACCTACGCATATTTTTCCTACATAGATCAATATTTGTGTATAGAAAACTTAACGGCATCTCTAGGATAGTCATTAATCTCTGGTATTTTCGTACATAAATTTACAATATTTTTATTTCAGTATATAATCTTCTCGACTTACTAATTTTAATTTATATATTCTCTTAACTAGTGACTCGTCCTGAATTTGCATGGGTAGATAGATATTAATAAAAAAATATATTTTAAATTTATACTTTACTTGAACCAATAGAAGATAACAACAATATTAAACTTATAATTTTAAATTTTTACGTTACATGTTTTTAATCTACTCGTGACCACTTGTTAAGCCCTTAAGATACTCTCACAAATATTCTCTTGCCTAATTTTCTTTAGATACCTATTACAACATCAGTCACCTTGTATGGTTAATCAAGTTACTGGCCACTAAGAATATTGCAATATAACTGGCCACTAATAAAAGAAAGAATCTCATCATGTTCTATAAAAAAAAATTCGTCATTTGTTGTTACTGAAAATATATTTTTCCCGCTTTGCGTTATATTATATTCTATTGCTATTGTTATGAAAACACATATTTGTTGAATGTCCCTTCACGGGAATTTCATGAAGAGACTGTCACATAATTATATTTATATGTACTGTTGATGTTGTGCTGTTTTTTTACTTTTTCCGCAAGAAACTATCTCCATATTCTGCAACCGGCCGCTTCCTTCCAGTATGTACGCTATATTGCAATAGCTCGCTGAATCGGATCGCAGGTTAGTGGGTACCGTTGTTTTATGGGTATTTGTTGTCCCCTAGTTAGGAGATTATATAAGTTTGTAAAAATACACCCCTATAAGAACGGCGAAGTCCCCGTATGGAATAGTTATTTATTTACCTTATTATTTATACGCCGCTCCATCAACCACGGCCTGTGTTACCTGGTTGAAAGGAGGGGAAAGAAACTGCTAGTAAAGGAATTAGTAACCCTATTACTAACAATATACCATATCAGGTCGACCTCCTCGTGGTTCCCCCTGGAAACTATCGTGATTGATTCATTAGTGAATTTTATGATGGGCTAACCGACTTGCTTCATCTTCATTTATCATCACTCACTGGTGTCCTGCCCGTGTATACCGATAGCGCAGGTGGAGTAACCATTCCATTATCATGCATTTAAAAAAAAAAACAAAAACATTGTCGAAATGTCGAGATGATTCAGGTAAACAACGTAAATGATCGCGTTAATTCTCATTTTCTATTAACCATGAAACCCAAGAAAATATTAAGCATTTACTTACGTTCATAATCAACTTTGATTATAAACAATTTAGTTAAATATACATTAATTCCATGATACGAATGTCATCTTTCAAATTTACCTGTATTTTGATTGATCAATTTGAACAAAAGACGGTTATTGTGGCCTAATGGTTTACTTAGTTTAAAATATATAGTTAGAAATATATAGCCCCGCGTACTTTTTATGAGTAATGATATGTTAAACATGTAGTATTATTGTATGTATCTTATCAATAATTTTTAACACATCAAATAAATAATAACTTTTACAGGCAAATTTTTGATACCTTTAGTTGCATTATTGTTAAAATTGCATTATATTAATTGTAATATTCATATTATAGATACCATATTCATTTTTATAAGTGAAAGGTTTTTAAAAATCAATTATATTCTGAATTTACAAAATACACAAACATACAAAAAATCATATATTTACGTTTTGATATATTAGTCGAAAAAAATATTAAAAAGCAAACAGACAATATTTAAATAATATTGTACTTTGTACGATAAAAGTTAAAATTACATTGCACAAGATAACAACAAAATAATATGTTTATAATAGTTGCAAATGAGAATATAATGATCGTAAAGAGTTATTGTTATTTAGTGACTAGATTTTACAAGGTACAGAATACTGCAAATATGACGAGAACATTTACATACACTATATTATTAGTTTATTTGCTGTGCTTAACTAAAATATCACTTTGTTATAAAACCGGAGTAGAAATGATGGAAAAGTGTCCGGATGTACAAGACGTAACTGATAAAATGACGATCAATTTAGAAACTTACAATAAAAGTGGAAAAGTTCTTTTGAAAGGCAAATGCGACATCAAAGAAGATTTAAAGGGATACGTATGGAATCTAAAAGCATTCGTTGAACATCCCGGCGAACGTGGAAGCCAAGTTGCATTTGATTATAAGGGATTGACGTGCAAAAACATTTTAATTAATCTCATCTTACTTAGTTCAAGAGTTAAATACGATAAAAAAACTTGTGTAACTAAAAAAGGATCATATACATTTGATAATCTGGACGTTCTGAAGTTGGAGTCTGCTGTGTCTTTTATACCTTTGAGAGAAATGGGAGCGAATAACTTGTATCTTAGCATGTACAACTCAGAACATATAATATTCTGTTATCATGTTCGAATTATATTCTCTTAAAAAAGAGAGGATCCATCAAAATTCATATCAACATCATAAATTAGA